TATTTAATAATTATAATTAAACATCTTAATATTTTTAATATTAGTTTTTTTTATATATTTATAATAAAAAGATACTTTAAGAACATAAAATAGAAGAATTATTATTTTTAAAAGCAAACTAGGAGATGTTAAATGTAAGGGATATAGCTAGCAAGTAATTAAAATAAAAAAAATATGTTTTTCAAAAATTAAGATGAATTAAATAACAAACGAATCGGATCTTCAAGTTCAATGATCCACCTTTAAATTTTAATTATATAAATCTAATTGATAAAAAATTCAAGAACTCCATTAAGTTTCCTTTTACTTGATCGAATAAACCAAAATTCAATTATTTCAACTACATTAAATGGTCTTTCAAATTGGTCAAGACTCTCCAGTTTATGGCCGCTTCTTTATAGCACCAGTTGTTGCTTCATTGAATTTGCTTCATTAATAGGCTCACGATTCAACTTTGATCGGTATGGGCCGGTACCAAGATCAAGTCCTAGACAATCAAAATAGTCGTCATTTCTCATAATTCCTTTATGGTAAAAAAAAAAAAAAAAAATCAGCTGCAGGCTGCAGCTGAATATGGCTGCATTGGTAGAGGTGTACTCATTCTTTGGCTATGACCAGCGGCGTACTCAGGATTTGTAAGTAGAGAAGGCACACGTCACAAATGCAGATCAATATGGAAATATAAAAATAATAACATAAGTATATACTTAAAAAAATAATTATAAAACTTATTTTATAGCCATAAGAAGTCTTCAATGAGAAACAAAATCTTTAGTTCCCACCACGGACCGCCAATTATGTGCCACCAATCAAAAATACTTGTTAACATGTTATTTTATAATTTTGTTGGTTTATTTTGTTTTAAATTTTTTAATTATACTTTTGATGCATTTTTAAAATTAATAATGTAGTAAAATTTAAAATTTAAAATTTAAAATCTAAACTTAAAAATTTAAAAGTCTAATATCTAAAAGGTTTTTAAGTAATAGTCTCGCAAACTCTTAGAATCAATTAATAATTGAAATTTTAAGTTAGTAAGCCAAAAAATAATTTAACATTTACTACAGAATAATAGTTATAAATTACAATATAATATATTTTTAAAAAATAAAATAAAATAAAATAATGATTTTGTTGATTTTTGAAAAATATTAAAGTATTACCCCAAAAATTAAAATTTATA